CCCTATAGGACTTTCAATAGTAAAATTTAATGTTACACTGTAAAATGCATACTTGACTTTAATATTACTGCAATTAGAAGTTATATATTCCTGACTGTTGGTATGCAGTTTGTTTATCATAATATCACGGTCATGTCAGGGTAAGCATTGGTGTAGTGTAACTAAGAGCATAGGATGTACACACAAGGAAAACCAAGTTGAGTCAAAACATGTCTTGATTATTACAAACTCTCACTACAAGGCCGGTCAAATTGACCTATCTTATAACCATTTTGTGTTCCTGCATTTTACAGTTTAACATTAAATTCTAAAATTAAAAGTCGTGTAGGGATGATCTATGTATAGCTGTATCATCTCTATATTCTTGTTTGCATTCTTTTTGGCACTGCCATCCCTATATCATTTTACATTTACAATTATTTTTTATTACTTGCAGTATGTATAATTTTGATGCACCATAACATTTACTTGATACTATGCTTCATAACAGTTTGATACCATGTTTAAAATGTTTTACTTCTACAATTCTATGATAAAGTTCCTGAATTATATGTAAACAAAAAAAAAGGTTCCCCTATATTATTTCAATACTGCTTCAATCTTTATATCTTGGCATCCCCTAATAATTTTAAATGTATCCACCACTGGATAGGATGTGCAATAGATATAAACTTTGAAAGAGGCATTATTATTGGAGCCCCATTAAAAGGATCATCCATAAATAAAACATTGGAAATGACTGGGAAATCAAAGGCTATTGTGTCTTGAGTATATATAACTGTCATCCTAGAAAACATCACCCAATAGTGAAATGTGTGGTTAATAATGATGAGAGGTGTATCACCAATATCCCATTCTTTTCTTTTTCACAGTGAAAATATTTAACCAAATTGTATGAAATCTGGTACAAGCAGTTTGCAGTGGAATAACCTAAACACTCAATCATTGGTAAAGTATTATTGAAGCCTGTGCAGTCTAATGTAGGCTTGCCACAGCTCAACACCTGAAGGATTCCATGAACATCTGTAAAGCAGCACCCATGTCATGCAAAGTAATGCATAGAGAACTTTGGTAAATGAGGTTTGTTGTTGCATAGCTACATGTAAATCATTCATTCCTGTGGCAAGCCAATGAAATGTGTAATCAAGGTCACTGCCATCAAACTTGGACATTTTACTAGTGCTTTACTTGAAAAATTGTGAAAGGTCAAACATTTGTATCTTCAAGACTTGTAAAATCCATGCCATAAAACATTTAAGCTGTCATTTAAGTACTTGGTGAGGCATCACACTATTAGGTTGGAGTTCCTGTTATTTTGGTTGGGCATAGTGCAACAATGTAACACTATTTCTTTTTACAGAAGGGAAGTACAGTAAGCAGTAGATGATATAAAAGATATGACAAACAGCTACAGTACAAAAACTTTCAAGCTATTCAGAGTTTTATTAAGACACACACACACGC